AACAAAGTTCTATTCAATGTCAAAAATAACCACTATTTTCTGATTTTACTGAGAGAAAAATCATCAAGTTACTTGATGATTTAGTTTATTGAAGTGATATTTTAAAATATCTCAATGAATTGACAATTTATTCATTATAGTGAAAATATTTGTTAGTATTAGTATATTGTCAGATTATTGAAAGAAAAAAAAATCATTAAGTAGTAACGTTATATTTAATTAAATCACTTAGTGACTTCACTTTTTCCTCAGTAAAATCAGAAACCTACGGTAAAATTATTTTTGCCTTTTAATAGGATTTGTATTATTTTGATAAATTAAATGGGTTTTTGAGTAAGAAGATGGTCTGGGTTGGTGGTCATAAAAAGACTAAAATAGTGGAAAAACTATTTTATTTCAAGTCAATGGCCACCCCGGATTATCTCCTTACTCAATAATATACGACGGTCAACCCCCAAGTATGCTAACTGAGTTTCATTGATACATATCATTGAAGCTCATAATCCTATTCAAATATTAGGTTTAAATCCATCTAAAGTCTACTTGGTGACTTTTTACTTTGAACCGAGGATGTATTCTATTGTTATTAGATTGTCTAAAAACATTTATCAGATATGTTCCCTTAATTTCAACAGAATATATAATATTTATTCTGTACTGTTAATATTTTTAATATATTTCTATTTTATTCTCTTCTCATACTGTATGGTTTACGAAGTTATTTCAGCACAAAATGAGCCATGAACGATGTCAAAGTCTAAAGTTTAATACGATTGAAGCTGTTTGTTTGAAATGGAGTAAATTTATTATTAGTTTATGCTTTATTTCTTCAATTTGTATCTCTCTTCTTTTCTTTTTTTTAGTTTTCCTTTGTGTTAATTTACTTTAATGATAAGACTGAAAATAAATTTCAAAAAAAATTCTGACTTATATAATGTGATGTGGTAGCGAGTGTAACTAAATAGCTATAAGCAACGGTTACAAAAAATCTCTAGTCCATTATATGTATTAATAAATATTTTAAGTGCGAATCCTTTCTTATAATAATGATCAGTCTTATCAAGAATTAACGATGATCTTTACAGCTGCCAGTTTTTTTAACGTATATTAAAAGTTTAGTTTAACATTAGTTTTTATTTGATTTTACCTTATTTTTTTCCTACTTGCATAATTTTTCGAACAAATAATGTTTTTTGTATTGTAGATAAAATAAAGAAAAAAAAAAGAAAGTAAGCTTCTTGAATAATTGTGCTGTATATAAAATCTGCTATATTATAATAAATGGTTTAATACTGCCTAATTTTTTATGAGAAGAGGAAATTCTCATCCATGTCCTTTTTATTTTTATGTTTCGGAAATAAAAGAGGTATGAGCAGTAGAACTCTGTCATGGAGCTTATACTCTGTTCATTTTTCATTTTTCTTGAGAGACATATGAGAAATTATTTGTTTCCTTAGTACTTATATGAGAAAAAGTATTTTAAAATCAAAACAGCTGTTTTTTAACAATTAATTTCTTTCTTTTTTATATTAATCTTCTATATAACTAATTGTCACTTTTGTATGTGCTGTTTCAAGTGGTTGTTTTGAGAAAAGAGTAAGTTGAAGATGAAGATGCTGCAGTAAAACCATAAAAAAGTTGATCCATCTCCGTGCCTCGTATTCCTGCAGCTACAATGCAATCTTCGTACTATTCAATTTCCATTATTAGAGGAACATTCTATTATTGATGTATCAACGTAAAGGAATCAAAATCCAAGCATGGCAATCTCTGTCATGGTAGCATTTTCAAGAAAGTGAAACTGAAGAAGTGTCTTTATTGCCACAGACAGGAAAATGTCTAGAACAGCTGAGTCATTTTGACCTAAGCAAAGGCAATTCATCTAAATAAGAACAAACAAATAGAGAAACTTAATTTCATAACCTTATTTAATTTGAACTAAATTAATAAAAATAAATATGAGAAGGAGTTAGACGAGGGTGCTGTCAAATAAATAAAAAATTAAAATATATTAATTATTTTAATTTTTGCCGACGTTTCGACCTACTTTGCAGGTCGTCTTCAGGGCTACAAAAGATACAAAACATGTTGAAAATAAAAAATGAATATAAGTATATATAAAATAAGAAGAAGTTGTCAGATACAGAAATAAAAGATGGTATCAGAGATATAGTGGGTGACAATGTAGGTAAATATTAAGAATTATATATGTAGAAGATACAAATAATTGGAAAATAAGTAGGAATAAAAATAAAGGAGAATATAGCATGTAAGTTAAAAGTAAACAGATTGCGATAAAAGATAAGGAATAAGTGTATAACAAACTAATAGAGATTACATTAGATAACTGTGGGTTAACAGATAAAGAAAATAAATACATGAATGTTAACGAATAAATAGATTGAAAATTGAATAGGTGTAACAATACTTATTCAGAGATATAGATCTCTGATACCATCTTTTATTTCTGTATCTGACAACTTCTTCTTATTTTATATATACTTATATTTATTTTTTATTTTCAACATGTTTTGTATCTTTTGTAACCTTGAAGACGACCTGCAAAGTGGGTCGAAACGTCGGCAAAAATTAAAATAATTAATATATTTTAATTTTTTATTTATTTGACCGCACCCTCGACTAACGCCTTCTCATATTATATTAACGGTCAACCATCTCTACATCATAATAAAAATAAATCTTGATATTGAATTGAAGAAATTTACAATGAATGCTGAAAAAAAAAAATTAATTTTGATGTGTGATCTTTTCTTAAATTTTTCATTATAACTGGTTATCTAAAATGTTTATTAATTATACATTGGTATTGGACCACCAGTAAAATAATAAACTTATTGATATTTATTAAATTTCATTTAAAAAATCACATTGTAATGTTTCTTCCTTTCAATTTGGCATTTTAAAGGAATACATTTTTAAGTTTATTAACTCCTTATGCACAACTTCTTTTAAATTAAATCAAATGTGCCCCCTCGAAAATTATGATGACTCAACTTGGACCATATATGGTTTATTTTGTTCAGTATTAATAAAAAACAACTGTTCCATTTATTTCTTGCACTGAGTTGCACCAGATTTGGGGAGTGATTGTCAGTTATCATTTCTCAACTATATTTTTGAGAAAATATTAATTTCTGTTTTACTTTTCATTGGTTTTACTCTCTGTATGATTTTAGTTCATTTAAACTATGTACTGAGAAGTTCTTTTCCTTTTATCTTCCCAGTTAGTATAGCGTATCTAAGCCAAAATGTACTGGCTTAAACTGAACTGAATATTACTTGTTGATGTACCTAAAACCAAAGTACTTGAAACATTAACTTCTTGGAATCTCAACAAGTCTTCTGGAAAATCTCTAAGAAAGGATTGCGGCAGATCCATCTAAATGGAAAATAATTATACTTAAGGACACCATTAAGCAGTGAAATCGACATTGGTTACTACTCACAAAGGTTCTACCTTGAGAAAATACTTTCCTACCTATATTCAAGGTTGGGAAGTATAAGGTTGGGAATATATTCAAGCGAAATGGGTCTTCTCTGATTGCTGGATGTTACAATTTCTTACAAGGCCTAGAGAGTTGGGCATCAAGCTTCATGACTTTGGGAAGGAAATTAACCCACTATGTCTCTGTGGTAGTGTTCTGAAAACAGCTGAGAATATAGTTAGCATTTACACCACAAGTCTGTTCCTTATCCCCACCTATTTTTTCATCTGTATAAATGACCTCATCCTCTATTCTGCACAGTCAATACCACCTGTATGCCGGCCACCAAGAAGATATTAATAAAATAAGTGCTTAACAATCTATGTGTTACTTTTGATCAAACCTTCTCCTGGAAACCACACATCTCCCAAATTTACCGTCGTACTATCACCACCCTAAAACAGTTCACTCGTCTACCCTATCTTTATCTGCTTGCATAGAACTCCTAGTTTTCTCTCTTGTTTTCCCCCACTTTGACTATGCCTGTATGGTATACAGTGGACTCTTGGGAGATTTCGGAGCCAAACTTAAACGCCTAATGAATTCGCAGTACGTTTTGTTTTCGGAATCTCAAGAAGATTACTCAGTATTACATTGAGTTGAAGTGACTATATCCATTCTATCGACGTCAGTACTTCCTAGTTCCCTTTTTGTACCAGGTCATTCGACTCTCCTATATTTTTCACAGCTTACAATTAAAATACTCTATCCAATCCCGCCCCACTAGATCTTTTACTTCCGACCTCTACTTCCTCCTCACCGAACTGCTGCGTTTGACAAATCCTTTTCAACTCAAGCCGTCTCCCTCTGGAATTCCATCCCTCCTCATATTTGACACGTACTATCAGTTTCCTCTTTCAAACCTCTCCTCTTTAAACACCTACTCCTTTCTCAATGCGACTGACTACGAAATATACTTAAGAGAACTATTTAAGTACCCCCAGAGACTATTTCTGTTATTTTAATTTCCTTTGTTTAATATATGTGAACGTTTTTCTTTTCTTTTTTTCTCTCTTCTGTATTTTTACTTTTATTGTAACTATTGAATTTATGTATAACGACGTAGACATACATGTAATTATAACTTGTTCTAAAGGGACAACAGTCCCAGAATAATAAAATATATTTTTATTTCATTTCACTTTTAAGACAATAAGGGCCAAACTACTGAGAGAAACAGGACTCAACATCATCACGGAAGACGAATTCTTTCAGCTGGTAAAGATAATTACCCGTACTACGAAGCTTTCGTATACGGGTGGAAGAAATTAGTGGGATTTGATCGTTTCAATCAACAGTAATGAAGAAAAGCCAAGGATCAGTGGTAGAAATAATTCATTTCTACCAAAAAAAATGTATTGCCGAGAGACAAGAAAAGAGGTATAAAAAATAACCTTCGCCACTATAGCAAAGAAGATAGTTGCCTATATCGATTATTGGTGTGTAAAGTCAACGGAACATTATTCTTAACTTTAATTTGATTACTCTCAGCTCATCTAATATTTGGAAATTTGTATTAATTTTTTTATTAACATCAGATTATATATCATATGATTACTGATATCTATTACTTGATAAGCAGAGAATGTGCTGTTTTCTAAAGAAATTTGACTTTTTAAGATGTACTTTATTTTTAACTCTGTTTCTATTCCTGATAACCTTTTACCCTTTATACCTTCTATGCGATCTGCCAAGACTCCCGTTAAACTGCGCTTCGAAAGTCTTAACTACAACCTCGCCAAAAGTTTTGGAAGAAATGCTCTGGGCATACACGACATTGTGGAGTATCAAAAGAATGAACTTCACTAGGAGAAGCGTTTGTGTACCAAAGGCGATTGTGGACGAGTTGAAACATATCTTTCAGCCACTATCTTTATGCACTATAAACAACCTGCCTCTAGTTTGTAATTACGAAGTAAGTCATGCATCTTTGATTACACCCATTCAATACCCTGATTCAAATCTGGATGGAGTGCACGTTGCAATAGATTTCTCAGGTAAATCAATTGATAATCCCAAGGCGATCCTTTATTCTGCAAAATATATGAACAGTGAATTTGTCTTATCAGAAAATCTGAATGCGTTTGCCAAGCGTGCCCATCAAAGATGTATTAATTCTTTGAATTTAGATAATTTTGACTCACCCTTGATAACAGTTTGCGTTTGGATAAAAAAACCTAACTGGTTTCCTGTAAGAAAATACTTCAAAAGAGCTCGAGAGAATTTCTTCCGATATTCGTTGGACATGTTCAGGAAGCACTACCGTCCTTTATTTATAGCCATTGGAGATGTGAGATGGGCAGCGGAAACATTTGAGAGTGATGATTTCGTCCCTTTAAGGACCAAATCTGTTGGTCAATTATTGGCAATGATGTCTCTTTGCAACCATACAATAATCGAACCTAATCCATTGTCTCTTTGGGCAGCTTTTTGGAACCAGGGGTTCAAAATTGTTTACGGCTTACCTCAAGTCTGGGACGATGTTCTTTGGAAGGAGGAGGACTGGATGTTGTTGAATCTCTATCCTAATGGTTCATTCCCACATTATATCCAAGAAGATGTAAAGATGCTGAGTCCCCTGGATTTTTATAAGTTTTGATAAATAAAATATGTTCCTTTTTAGATTATCAGGTTTACCCATAACTTTTGGAAAAGATAGTAGTAATTATTAAATAATTTTAAACCTGATGAGTAATGATTGAATCTGCTCGAGGAAAAAAACATAACTGTAAATTTCATAGATATGATAGGTACTGGTAGGGGGAAGGGAAGAAGTGGGCCATATAGTGCTTTTTGCCAACAATTGAGGTTGTCGCCGCGCACTTACCAGAGTGGGAATGTCAAAATTCGTTACCTGGGATCGCCATGAAATGAAAGTTACCCGATCAGGTGGGAATCGAACCCACAACGTTCAGGATCGGGCATCCAGGGACATATGCCCCGATGTGCTCGGCCATCCCGTCCTCAGATATGATCGTAATTTAGAGAATAGAGTCTAACCGTTAAGTGGACCCTACATGGACAGTGAAAATGACATTTTGTATCAGTATCTTACACGATAAATCAGGACGTCCATAGTGCGTGCCTCAGAATGCAATTTCAAATGACCGTGTAGGGTCACCACCTACTTTTATTTCTTCAATATTTACACATTATCCACAGAAATGGAAAGTAAAGAGAACTTGGATTTCATCGATGTATTCATCAAGTTCTTTGCCATCTGAATCTTGATTCATTCTTTCTAATAAAGCATTTTTAACCAAATAATGAAGCATGAAGATTCACTACTCATTTCGCTTTGCCATTTTAAAAATAAATCAAAACGTCTGTAAATCAATTAAGAACCCACAAACTTTGTTTACTGTACAGGCATAACCTTACTATAACTGATAACACTTAAGCAGATTAGCACATTAAGCATTTACAACAAGTGCAAGAATACCCCTAATTCCACAAGTGAAAACAGAAATTTATAAAATACTTATTGAGAATTTTTACCCTGCAAACCTAATCTAAAAGTTATGGTACAGTCGATTACATATACAACACTAATCCAAAATGATAATAAAACCAAAAAACATTACAATAAAGAAACCAACTCAATAATTCATCATTCAATTTTTTGAAAAAAAAAACAAATTTAACACACCAGAATAATCAAGACATTTCACAAACAAACAAAATGAACTTTAACACCAGCTACAAAATGACATACATACCTGAACTTAAAAACAAAATTAAGGACATGTTTAAAAATGATGACATACCAGAAGTCAAGCTTGGGCAATACAATAATAAAAAACTGGGCAGGTACATTACCAATACAAAATACAGAATATACTCATTTGACAAGAAAAATATAATTTACAAATTAAACTGTCAAAACTGCACCAACATCTACATTGGGGAAACATCCAAACTCTTAGGAACCAGAATTTCACAGCTTTAGCACAAATTCAATTTAAATAAACCACAGATATTAGGCATAGAACCAAAACACAACAATAGAAGATTATTTGAAGCCACCCACAACAGCAAAAAATTACAAAACAGACACCAAATATTTTTTAATTAACTCCTTTCTAACCATGAAACGATAAGAAAATATGGGATTGTAAGTTCTGAAGATGGGAGTAAAATTTCCCAAAATGTTAACATGTAAATTCAACAAATAAATCAATTGCTGTATATTGGAAGGGAATGGGGTAGCTCAGTGGTAGGGTACTGAGCTTCCAATGCTAAAGATTCCTGGTTCGAATCCCGGCTAGTGGCAGAAGAATTATTTATTCTATGAGAAGGAGTTAGTCGAGGGTGCGGTCAAATAAATAAAAAAATTAAAATATATTAATTATTTTAATTTTTGCCGACGTTTCGACCCACTTTGCAGGTCGCCTTCAGGGCGTAGGATGTGGCACTGCGGGAGGCAGTTGAAACACTTCAACTGACCAGAGAAACAGAGAATATTATACAGCTCCCCAGCAAAAAGAAGAACAGAAAATTTAGTTGTTTTTCACATTTTTTTATATACAGTAAATTAGTTAATTTTCATGAAAAAGTTCAAGAATTCTCACAGCGTATTTTGTACCAGTATAAAGTGTTTCAACTGCCTCCCGCAGTGCCACATCCTACGCCCTGCAAAGTGGGTCGAAACGTCGGCAAAAATTAAAATAATATATTTTAATTTTTCTATTTATTTGACTGTACCCTCGACTAACTCCTTCTCATATTATATCAACGGTCAACCATCTTTACATCACTAATTATTTATTCTGTTTCATTGGCCGTTGGGCAATCCTGGGTAGGTAGACCCTCCTGGGGCACACCTAGCCTCTATAAAGTGGGTACCTTTAATTAAGGGAAAAAACCTGATGGTTGAGCTTGATTTCGGTCAAATCACCTCCTTACACAACAGTAGACCAAGAAACAGTGCTTTCCCTAAATAGTACTAGACCCTGGGGTTTGTAGTGGTACAGGTGGTGGTGGTGTATATTTGGAAGTTATCATTGCCAAAAACAGAGAATATTATACAGCTCCCAAGCAAAAAGAAGAACAGAAAATTTAGTTGTTTAGCACAATTTTTTATATATCACTCGAGGTTCTGGTATCATCCTTCTAATTGTTCTAGTTCCAAATATACTCATATTTGCACTCTCTCTTTGGCATATAAAGCATATTATCAGTTTATGGGTTGAATATTGTCTATTACTGGTACGTTAACCTTAATACTTAAATAATAACAGTGTGGAGATAATTGACTGTGATTATAATTTGAGAAGGAGTTGATCGGGGGTGTAGTCAAATTAAATAATATTATATAGGCATATCCAGTAAAATACTACTATAATATATAGTATTTAATTTGACCACACGCCCGGCCAAATCCTTATCAAATAAATAATAATAGATGTATTGACCATCTTCAGTTATAATTATATTTATTATTTGCAAAATAATATTTAAATTAAAATGTTTTTCAATCTAATTTAAAATAAGCCTAACTCAAATTGAAGTAGGCTCAATGCTGTTTCATATAACAATACATTTTAAAAAATCTTTTTGTATAGAATAACAAAGTATTTATAAGTATATATTTTCAGAAGTTTTTAAAAAAATTATAATTTTTTAAAACTTATTTAATATAACAATTTAATTATAATGAAACAATAACTCATATATATATATATATATATATATATAATATATATATATATATATATATATATATATATATATATATATATATATATATACTTTTTTTTTTAGGTATTTAGCTGGTTTCTACCACCTTCTTGAAGAAAATGCATAGAAATGATAAACTACCCTGCTGATTGGAGGTGTCTTTGGAAAAAAATGGCATCAATGCAAATGAGACCATTGATAAACAAATCACAAATGAAACATGATATTCTGCCATGGAAATTTTCTTCAGTTGAATCCACATCAGGAAAATTAATATTTTCAAGACTGATACTGTATACTTTCTGATATGGCTATAGAACTTGAAGATAATGAAGGCAGAATCAAAAGATTCATTACTCAAAAATTCATTTAATAAGAGCTATTAAAATTTTTCATGTTGTATAGTTGTAATTTTTCATTACATTTAATTCTTGTAATCATAATAGAAACTATTGATGTTATTTATTTTTTGTATTTTCGATATGGATATATAGTTGATTGTTGAAATTGTGAATTGTAAATGAAAAATAGTCTGGGTGTGCAGTCAAAAAAAGTGTTTATTTTTCCTAAGTTTCAACCCAAGCATGTGGGTCATTATCATGGAAATGATGTGAAGTCTGGACAAGAACATTCCTTCTTAATTTTTGAATTCATTATTTTAATTATTTCTTTCATTTAATTCCTGTAATCATTAGATTATTATTGTAATAATTTAATTAATGGTATTGCAATTATTCATGTTATTTAAGAACATAAGTTAATAATAAGTTTGCTACACGAGTTGAAAAGAAAAGGGCTTATCTTATATTTACTTCTACTCTTAATAATAATTTTATTGAATGATGTATATTGTTTCTGTTATTCATATTTCCATAAGATTTTTCAAGGTTATGTAATAGTTACTTGAATAATTGAAATTGTTTTATCATAATATAAGATAAATAAAAATTGTATTTGTGATGGACATTATTCAATAGAAATGGCAAATTTATTAATTCTGTATACATTTTTTTTATTCTATTATACCAAATATTGGAACTATTTTCTGTCTATTTTGCTGTTATACCCACACATGAGTGCTTCTGTATAGTAATTGAAAGAATAGATGTATTTTGTTTCAAATAAATGAATTAAAAAAAATATTGATTAATTATTATATTTTTCTTCTCTAAATCCTGACAAATTCCCTTAGCCAAATCCCTCTATTCCTTTTCCTCTTTAATTTTGCTCAGTTAACAATGATATAATCCTTAATTAGTTATTCAAATTAAGCATACGGACTGAGTATGCTATATTTACTAAAAGAAAATATGTCATCGATGTTCTGTAAAAAGAATGAATTCGTCAAATTTAAGTTTCATAAAAACCTACCAATTTGTAAATAGGAAATAGTAACTTCTCATATAGTAAAAATATAACTTTCCTGGAAAATTGTTTTTTTTAAAGTAGTGATTGTTTGGAATCACCCTTTTTACAGAACAAGATATAAGACGATGTGAAAACAAAATGAATATATTATATAAGAATATTAGTTAATTGCTAATAATAATAATATTAGTAATACCTGATTTAATTTCATCCTTGATGAACACCTAAAAGTTTGCATTGAGAGTTGTATTTCGCAATAAAATTATGATTAAATCCTGATAGTTTGTTCCGTGATATAAACAACAGTCAATCAGCTCTAATCAAATGCTCTATAGTATTAACAATCAGCACAAGATAATTTTCAGAAAATATTTTTAAAATGTTAAGATTTCAATTATCAAAAGACTCTAAATGAAAGCCAGGGTCAAAATTTAAAAGAACAATATTGATAATGAATTATTCCTTATGAGTATGAATAATTTGATAGATAGAAAATTGTAAAAACTTATCAACATTTGAAAAAAAAATTAACAAACACTTTTACTTTGAATTAGATATACATCCAGAAGATATAAATATTTAGTTAATAATACATACAGAATTGAG